TTCTCCTTCCTTGGTCTCTGCCTGATTGAATAGGAATATCGTGTGAGTTAGCAATTGTTGATGCATAATCATAAACTTTCTTCCAATAGTCATCACTACGATACTCTGATAAAAGTGACTTAGTAGCAACAACTAGATGAGATGCTGAAGAAAGATTAAGAGAAGAGCTCTGAAGTTGATCTGATAGTTGCTTAGTACAAGTGAGAATGCGATCAAATGTAACGAGTGATACAAGGAAAGTAAATGATCTCACCTGGTGATACAACCCCCTAGCCTCAATGGCCTTAGCAGCATCATGTGACACTGATATTTCTTCCAAAGAGAGAAGAACGGAGTCATATGTGCAACATATGGCATTGACTGCTGCAAAGCGGCATACCCACCGAGTGTCACTCAGTTTCTGCAGTTCCATTGGTTGTTTTTCAGGGTGTAATTGTGATTGTTTTTCCATAAAAACATCATGGGCTTTTGTAGGAGAGAAGAAAACATACAAGGCCTCTAATAAAGCAAAAAACTCAGCTGCTATTGGTACAGATTTGACAGATTTGACCAAGACTAGATTTAAAGCATGGGCATGACAGTGAATGTATGTAGCATATGGAGCAAACTGTCGTACCTGAGTTTGAACACCTGAGCAATGTCCACTCATTACATTGGCACCGTCATACCCCTGACTCACCATTTTAAGAAAATCAAAGTCAAAGCCAGTAACTAACTCTTTAATGTATCCTGTTAAGCTGGTTGCATCTTGCAAGATCTTTGGCATGAGAGAATCCCAAGAACCTTTCATTGACGATATCATCAGCTACATTGACTTAATGTATAGTTACAGCAAAGATCAAAGGCTTAACAGTTGTGATAAAACCCATAGAACACTCCCACCAATACCGCAGTGTGATATTATAAATAGCACACTCATTTATTTAATGTGCAGCAGTGTGATATCAGTGATAGCAAATTTTATTTTTAAATATTATAATTAAATCAATTTTGATGAATAGAATGTCACTTAAGTGATCTGCAAAGTCCAGGAGCCTTTATTTTGAGGAAGTGTACAAGTTGATTGTGCAATTCTCTAAGTTTCCAGAAATAAGTGTAGACAAGGTCTTCTTTGCCTCATGACTTTTTTTGTTGACACGAACCGTGTTTTTAGGCATGACGCCTTTTGAAGCCATATGACAGCACTCTCTTTTCTGCGTAGACAAACCTTTGTGGGCCATTAAGTTTGAGTCTTCTCCTCTTGGGAGTTGGGAGGAGGTACAGGTGCTTGTCCATCAGAGCATCCTTCGGCCATTTTGATCAGACAAAGATGACAGAGCAGTGAGCACGTGCAATCTTTGCTGGAACTCTACACTAAAACAATTAATACATGTGGCGTCGTGTTCTATTGAATTTATCCGCACTCGCTTCCGGTCTCGTCGCTAAAAATAG